GAGTCGAGTGCCTGAACAACCAGGCCTTAAAAGCTGTTTAACTTACATATTTACGTTAACTTTAGTATTTTCAATTTCAACGAAACCTTATGGGGCACGTGGGCTAAATCACTAAGGCAGAGACCCCTAGATTCAGACATAGCCATTCCTAACCTAGTTTGCAGCTAATAAGAAGTAAATAAATCAGTCAGTAGCACCCATCACGTACTCTTCATCAAATAGCAGGACTGACGGTCATTCTTATAACGCGTCCTCAACTGTTTACTTATATATTGTGGGCTTGTACCTTCCACAGCCAGTCAGGCTAATCTCTAGCCCACCACACTCCATCCATTTGGCTTAATATTGTAAATTCATTGTTTGTTTGTTTGTTTGTTGTAGTTATGCACAAAGCTACACAATGGGCTATCTGTGCTCTGCCCACCACGTGTATCGAAACTCGGTTTCTAGCGTTGTAAGTCCGCAGACATACTGCTGTGCCACGGGTGGGGGGGGGGGCAAATTTATTGTGAACACGTCAGGCAACGTCTGGACAGTAAGTGACAAAAACGTTTCCTACACTTTTGTCATACACACCCCCTCTTTAATAAATGTGGTTTCTTGAGCGCCCTCCCTCTTTTTTTTAAAACGAGTGAAAGGATTAAGTGGTGAGATGTTATACGAGCATACATATGAAAATTTTATATGTGTTATAGTAATTACTTATTATTTTCGTTCATAACAAATACATTAAAACGCTTAATTTTGCATTAATGGGCTTTATCCTAATCGAGAAACGCTGGCTCAGTGCATTTATAAAGTTTGAATAATAATCAAATTATACTTGTCTGCGAAGGCCCAACAGACGCAGATAACACACGTTTAAAGAAACACGCCACCTAGTGGCACAACAGTAAGTTTGCAGACCAATAACGCAAAAACAGGGTTTCGATATTCTTGGTGGGCACAGTACAGATAGCCCATTGTGTAGCTTTGCGCTTAACTACAAACAAAATATTAAAGAAACGATTCCAGAACGTATAACCGTCTTTCATCAGGGATGAAACTGTAAGGTTACGAAAGAAACTTCGTAATGTCGAGATCTTTTAAATATTATAATTTGTTACATCGTGAAAACCATATCTCTTAAAAATAAAACTTTGGGTTTGATAATTTGGTTTTGCTATATAGATAATTAAGATACGTAGTAGGTTTAAACATTACGTGGTATGCTATCTTTAATTATCTCAAGGTTCTAGAAACTACTACTCTTAAGTACATCTATATAATTAAAACAGTAACGTGTGTGGGAAACGTTTTAAAACTTCATTAAACCATGAAATTAGGAAAACGAAGTACTGATGACGTCACCATATGTTTAAGGGACGGGTAGGTGTAGACAAGCCCTCTTAGAGGTTCAAAGAGGCTCCTGGCTCTAGTAAAAATAATAACATATGAAAACAAAATAAGACAATCATTGCCCAACAGAAAAGTGAAACATAATTTGAATATTTGATTTGTATATATAATTTGCAGCTCTAAGCTGAGAGCGTCACATTTTGGTCTGATTGGGAGGCACATAAAAAAGTCAAGAAACTTAACAAATGAAAAAAAATAAAAAGGGTATAGATTTGAGGCCCAGGCTAAATGTCCCTCCTGCTCCCCTCTCTAATTGGCTTTAGGTGTAGATAGTAGTATGCATTGCATAGGGCAAGAGGAATGGATCTGTCCATCTCAACAGTGTTTATGGTCAAGGTTTTGTGTGAACTTTTTCATTTATTTCAGCAGTGTTTATGGTCAAGGTTTTGTGTGAACTTGTTCATTTGTTTCAGCAGTGTGTATGGGCAAGGTTTTGTGTGAACTTGTTCATTTGTTTCAGCAGTGTTTATGGTCAAGTTTTTGTGTGAACTTGTTCATCTGTTTCAGCAGTGTGT